CAAAGGTGCTCGCACAATGTGGCTTTGTTTTGTTTTAGCGTTTTCATTGAGATATGATTCACATAATATAAAATTCACTGTTTTACAGTATACACTCCAGAGGTTTTAGTATATTTACTATGTTCTGTAACCAGCACTACTAATACCAAAACATCTCTATCACCTCAAAAAGAAACCCCACACCTATTAGCAGTTAGTCCAAATTCCTTCCCTCCTCCATCCTTGCCAACCGCTGATCTACTTTCTGTCTCTATGGATTTGCCTATTCTGAACATTTTCTATCAGTGGAATCACACAGTATGTGGTCTTTTGTGGTTGGCTTCTTTCTCTTAGCATCATGTTTTCAAGTTTCTCCCATGTTGTAGCACTGCATTCCTTTTCATGGCTCCATAATATTCCATCACATGGCTATATCACATTTTTTGTTTATTAATCACTTGACGAACGTTGTATTGATTCTACTTTTGGGCTATTGTGAGTAATGCTGCTCTGAACATTCATGTACAAGTTTTTGTGTGAAGCTCTTAGCGATTCTTTTAGGTGAACATGTAGGAATGGAAACACAGGGTCATATGGTAATTCTATAAACTTTTGAAGAGTTGCCAAACTGTTTTCCACAGCTGCTGAACCAATTTACATTCCCAATAGCAGTGTTAGAGGGTTCCAATTCCTCTACCTTCTCATCAGCACTTGTTATTTTCTTTTTTGTAATTACTATCATTATTATAACTATTCTAGTGGGTGTCTCATTATGGTTTTGATTTGCATTTTCGTAACAACTAATAACATTGAGCATTTTTTCATGTTTATTGGCCATTTGTATATATTTGGAGAAATAAATACCTATTCAAATCTCTTGCCCATTTTTTAATTGGGTTGTCCTTATATTGCTGAGTTGTAAGAGTTCTTTATATATTCTGGATACTAGACCCTTATCAGATATATGATTTGCATATATTTTCTCTAATTCTATTGTCTTTTGGCTTTCTTGTTAGTATCCTTTGACCCACACACACAAAAATTTTTATTTTAGGGTGGAGGAGGAGTGGAGGGGGAGAGAGAGAGAAACAGAAAGACAGAGAGGCAGAGAGAGACAGAGACAGAGACAGAAGGGGAATCTTAAACAGGCTCCATGCTCAGCTCAAAACCCAACACAGAGCTTGATACCACAACCCTGGGATCATGACCTGAGCCAAAATCGAGAGTCTAATGGTCAACCAACTGAGCCACACAGGCACCCCAAACCCACAAAAAAATTTTAATTTTGATAAAGTCTCATTTATTTATGTTTTCTTTGTTTGTGCTTTTTGTGTTCTAAGACATTATTGCCTAATCTGAAACCATGCAGATTTTCACCTGTGTTTCCTTCTACAAGCTTTCTACTTTCAGTTCTTTCATTTAGATATTTGATCTATTTTGAGTTAAGATTTGTGTATGGTATAAAACAGAAGTCCAAATTCATTCTTTTGCATGTGGATGTCCACTTGTCCCAGCATCATTTGTTGAAAAAAAATTTCCCCATTGAGTTGTCTTGGTACCTTTGTCAAAAATCAACTGACCATAAGTATATGAGTTTGTTTCTGGACTCTCAATTCTATTCCATTGGTCTACAGGTCTCCTTACACCAGTACCACACCTATCTTGATTACTGCAACTTTGTAGGAAAATTTGAAATTGAGAAGTGTGAGTCTTTCAATTTTGTCCTTTTTCAAGATAGTTTTACAGGTTATTCTTGGTCCCTTGCAACTTTATTTGAAATTTAAGATCAGCTTGCCCATTTGGGGCGGGGGGAGGCAGTTTTGACAGGGATTGCACTCAGTCTGGAGATCAGTTCAGCAAGTATTGCCACCTTAACAATATTAAACTCTCCAGACAATGAACACAGGATGTTGTTAAATTTATATAGACCATCTTGATTTTAACAATGTTTCAGAGTGTACAAGCCTTGCACTTTTTTTATTAAGTTTATCCCTAAGTATTTTTTTAAGAGAGACAGAGAGAGTGAGAGTGCGGGGGGACGGGGTGGGGGAGGCGCAGAGAGAGAGAGAGAGAGAATCCCAAGCAGTTTCCATACATGGTCAGCACCGAGCCCAATACGGGGCTCAAACCCATGAAACCATGAGATCACAACCTGAGCTGAGATCAAGAGTCAGTTACTTCACTGACTAAACCACCCAGGTGCCCCAGGATTTTATGATTTTTGATGCTATTACAAATGGAATTTTCTTAATTTCATTTTCAAATTGTTCATTGCTAGTGTATACAAACACAATTGTTTTCTGTGTATTAAGCCTGTATTCTGCAACTTTGCTGAACTTACTTACTAGCTCTAATTGGTATTTTGTCAATTCTTTAGGGTCTTCTAGATATAAGATCATGTCTTCTTATATACAGTAGTTTTACTATAAAGATAAAGATAGTTTTCCTTTTTCCTTTTCATTATATGAGTTTTTGAAACGTGAGGTGACACTTCATGACATTGATAATGTCAACAAAGAACATTTTCCCAATTGCCAATGGCCTACTCACATACCTCAGCAAGATGTCAGAAACTTTCACTCAGGTTCTGGATGAAATTTCACAGTTTTAATGTTGGGAATACAATATGGGGATTTCTTGAAGCTAGAACTGTGGTACAGTAGCAGCATCAAAGTTTTACTATTTCTAACATTTGGTTTATTTGAGAAAGAAATTTTAAAAACACATTATTGAACACATTTAAAGCCACTTTGATAAAATGGAAAGCTTTGTGCTGTGTATTTTACCACACACACACACACACACACACATACAAACTTCTACATCATAATAAGAAGTGCTTTCCAAAGCTGAACTAAGCTTAGGATTGGATAAAAAATCCATTTGCTTTCACCTCCTGGGTTACAATAGTTAATATTCCAACATTTGTGCGTCATGTGCTTACAGACCTAAGTTCTGGTAGTTTGCAAACAATTTTCACTGAGAATGCTCTCCACAGTTCTAAGTCCAAGTTTAATCCACTTACCCAGGACTGGCTGATGAAGCACTTGATGCCATTCCTTCAATTTCCTAACTTAGTATAAATGGTTAAAAAACCAGCCCTGCTGGATATGGGATCTGAGCTATGGCTCAAACTATCTGACATCAAGCTGAATACAAATACGTTAGTAAAGATTACAAATATATCATTCTGCGTTTTAAAACAAAGCCATTGGTGTTACTTTTACATGTTTTATTACACTGTGTTAAAATTTGTGATAGTTTTTGGGGCGCCTGGGTGGCTTAGTCGGTTAAGCGTCCGACTTTCGCTTAGGTCATGATCTCACGGTTCGTGGGTTAGAGCCCCGCGTCGGGCTCTGTGCTGACTGCCAGCTCAGAGCCTGGAGCCTGTTTCAGTCTGTGACTCCCTCTCTCTCTGACCCTCCCCTGCTCATGCTGTCTCTCTCTCTCTCCTAGAAATAAATAAAAACATTTAAAAAAAAATTTGTGATAGTTTTTAAGATTTATCAAAATGGGGGGCTTGGGTGTCTCGGTTGGTTAAGCAGCTGACTTCTGCTCAGATTGTCAAGCCCTGAGTCGGGCTCTGGGGGCTCAGAGCCTGGAGCGGCTTCGCATTCTATGCCTCTCTCTTTGCCTCTCCCCTGCTTGTGCACTCTCTCTCTCTCTCTTTCTCTCTCTAAATATTTTCTTAATTTAGGAACTTTTTTTAAAGTTTTATTTATTTTTGAGAGAGAGAAACAGAGACAGAGCATAGGCAGGGGAGGGGCAGAGAGAGAGAGAGAGACAGAATCTGAAGCAGGCTCTAGGCTCTGAGCTGTCAGCATAGAGCCTGATGCAGGGCTCGAACTCACAGACCACGAGATCATGCCCTGAGCTGAAGTTGGATGCTTAACCGACTTAGCCACCCAGGTGCCCCAAAAATTTAAGAACTTTTTATGTACCAGACATCCACTAAAATGGCCTATGGATTGCAAAGTTTAAGAAACACAGATTTAATTAAAAGAACACTGGACAGGGAACAAGGAGGGCTAGATTCTAGTCCTGGTTTTGACCTTGGCTATGTTAAATAACTTCTATAAACCCTAGTCTCCCCAGTTTAGAATACACTGATATTTTTTGTTCTAATTTCTTCCCAGGGCTTCTGTGAAAAGCAAATGAGACAAGGGATACACAAGTGCTTTGTAACCTGTAAGACTGTGCAAATGTATGAGATGAAATCATTTTTCTTAAGTGCCATATAGGGTGTCTGGATGGCTCAGTCAGTTAAGAGTCCGACTCTTGATTTCTGCTCAGGTCATGATCTCACAGTTTGTGGGATTGAGCCCCATGACGGACAGTGCAGAGCCTGCTTGGGATCCTCTCTCTCTCAAAATAAATAAATTTTAAAATGTAATTAGTTAATGAATTTTTAAAATGATGTCTACGTTTTGGCTTCCCCTTCTTCTCGTTCCTTCATGTACAACCCCACCAGTTGTCAAATAGCCTGATCCCCCTGGCTTTGTATTTATAAATTTGGCCCATCATCCCTACCACCACAATGGGGAACAAACTCTGCTTGTCCCTGGCAAAGAAGGCTGCCAGGTCTCCCAAATTCTGCTCTAATTCTTCCATGTCCCGCGGTCCCTGTCTCTCCATTTCCTGGGCTCCTCCTGGAAGTATTTGGAGAGAGCAGGGGCTGCACAGTTCTCTGTCACACACGACATACATCCCTAGGCCTGTCCACAGAGATCTGTTCCTTAACCCCACTCGGCCCCATGCCCCAGCCTCTCTCTCATCCCCTCCCAAGGAAACTCACCCCTGAGTTTCCCCCACCAACCTCCCTGCTATACGCTGGGCAGCTCTGCTGGGGTGCTGAGCCAGACAAGGGAAAGAGCCCCACCTACAGACCCCACCCTCTAGGAATGGATTTATGCTCCACTGTGGGTGGCAACCATGGGAACCACAGGTGACTGTGAGTCAGATAGTAATAAACAGGACTCTTTACTAATAGAAGTTGCCTGGGGCAACCCTGGGAGGGCAGGGCCCTGGATTTCTTGGTTGGGCCTCTGAGAACCTCCTAGAAGAGCAGAGCTCCCCAACTAGCATATTAGGTAAGGCTAACAAACACAGATAAATCATTTGCCATTCTTCTGGAGTCCCTTCTCAAGAGCCTCCAAAATCCCCTTGAACTTTGAGTTGCCCCATCTTGAGCTCCTTTCCATTCCTTAACCTCACCATGCTGTCTCTTGGCTCCTAACTTTCCTACATGAGCTTCCTACTCCCAGAAATTCTCTTTCCTCTTCTATTTTACTCTGAAAACACGCATTCATCCTTTAAATATTAGGTCCCTTAAATATCAGGACGTTCCATGACCCCTGCAAGTGCTAGAAACCTCAGAAAACACGGGATCTTATTTTTCTCTCGTTGAGTAAAGTCTGGAGATATGAGTGCTCTTCATGGAGTTCTCGGGGTCCCAGGCTGCTTCCTGCTCTGCCAGCCTTACAGGTCAGTCCCTCGGCCTCTGGTCTAGGAGGGCAGTGTCTGCATCCGGACAGCAGGACAGAGACAGGAACAAGGAAAAAGGGGCCAAGGGTTTGTGTTGGCTGCTGTGTAAAACAGAGGTCCTTACATCTGCCAACAGGTACTCAGCACCATTGGAAGGCGATTCATTTCCACCAGCTCACGTTCCATCACCGCCTTCCTAAGATATTTCTGCCTACAGTCAAGGCCTCTGCCAGTTCTCTTCTCCCACATGCCCATTGGCATGTGTTTTGCTACTTTATGAAAGAAGGTAGACCTCTTACCAACTGCGCACAAGAGCAGGGTAGTGGGAACTGTCACCTGCCACCGAGGTCAGCACAGGGGTGCGCTGTCTATAGACAATTCTAAAGCAGTGATCAGCCAAAAGCCAGCTGCTCTTCATTATCACCTCAACCAGCAATCCTAGATGACATCAGTGACAAAATATTCCCTCCCGAAAATATATTTTGTTGGTCTAAGTTCTAAATCTAAACGAATGCTGTGGTTACCCTTGGCTTTTGATAACAGATATTAGCAAATCAGCATATTTCTATAACATATCTTTAAGAAACATTATATTCAGGGCACCTGGGTGGCTCAGTTGCCTAAGTGTCTGACTCTTGATTTTGGCTCATGGTTTGTGAGATGAAGCCCCCTGTCCGGCTCCATGCTGGGCATGAAGCCTCCTTAAGATTCTCCATCTCTCTCTGCCCCTCCCCCACTTATACTCCCACATTCTCTCTCTCTCCTTCTCTCTCTCAAAATAAACAAATAAACTTACAAAAAAAATAAGAAGAAACATTATATTCTACAGAGAATTTCATCCTGGAAACTCCAGGCACACGGTGGCCCCTCGACTTCTGATTCAGCCATGCATGTCCCTCTCCAGGGGGGTGGCCCTTCATGGAGGTCACCCATCCATCTGGGCAAACTACTCATCTCTGGTTTAAACAGGAGGTTCAAAGGAAACAACAAGATGGCTAAGGATGTAAAGACAAAAGAAATAAATGAGTTATTTTACCTCTGTTTACTTGGATTTTTTATTTATGTTTAAAAATTAAGCAGGTGCCTGGGTGGCTCAGTCGGTTGAGTATCCGACTTCAGCTCAGGTCATGATCTTGCAGGTCCAAGAGCTCAAGCCCCCAGGCTGGGCTCTGTGCAGACAGCTCAGATCCTGGAGCCTGCTTTGGAGTCTGTGTCTCCCTCTCTCTCTGCCCCTTCCCCACTCGACCTCTTGTCTTGCTCTGTCTCTCAAAAATAAATAAATGTTAAAAATTAAAACCATGAAAAGGAGGGCAGATTCCAAGTTGGACCATTTTTGTCTAGTAAGAGCAAGCAGGAAATGTAATTATTTTATTTCAGGATTACTGGTAAAAATAATTTTGCCTAAAAGAGGAGAAAGGTGTTAAAAAAATCCACACCATTGTCAAACACTTCAGCCTCAGGCTATCATCCCTCTTGAATTTAAGATATAATGCTTAGAGTGTCAAAGTTTCATGGCCCTAAACAAGAAAGATGCTAAAATATGGTGAAACTCCCTGTAATCAAATCACCAACAACTTGTGATAGGTCTCACAGATTTCAAGCCCCACATTGGGCTTCCTGCTATCTGCACAGAGCCTGCTGTATTCTGTCCCCCTCTTTCTCTGCCCCTCCCCCCACTCATTCTCTCTCCCTCTCTCTCTCTCTCTCTCTCAAATAAATAAACATTAAAAAAAAGAAAAACATTAACATTATGGGGTACCTGGGTGGCTCAGTCAGTTAAGCATCCCACTCTTGATTTCAGTTCGGGTCTTAATCTCAAGATCGTGAGTTCAAGCCCGGCATTGGGCTTAAAGAAAAAGAAGGAAGATATTATGGCCCATGTTGGGATGTTCTGGATTCAGATATAGCATAGAGTGAAGCAGAAGAATGGCAGTATTAATTTCCATGCCCCCCCCAAAATTGTTCAAGAATGTCCATGTCCCGAGGGAGAATCCCTTGAGCACAAAAGAATGAAATACTAAAGGTATCTTATATAATGCAAGTGACAAACTCATGGCAGAGCTCCATGCCCTATCTAGTCATCTTAAAACTATTCGTGATTCTAAAAAGGATATGGTTAATGCTGACCACTAGGAAGCTCACTTCATGCCCTCACTGTTCTGTCAGCGGTTAGAAAGAGCGTGGCCAGCACCCTCAGTCATCCTGTCTGGGTCTGTTCTCCTTTGCACATTTGCATGACTTCAAGGAGGAGGAAGTGAAAAGTTTCACATTTACTTTCAAAAGATGAACATGACAGCTTTAAAGAAAAAGAACATGTATCAGAGGCACTTTTAGTGTTTCATATTTTTTAATGTTTATTTTTGAGAGACAGAGCATGAGCATGAGCAGGGGAGGGGCAGAGCGAGGAAGACACAGAATCCCAAGCAGGCTCCAGTCTCTGAGCTGTCAGCCCAGAGCCCGACATGGGGCATGAACTGTGAGATCATGACCTGAGCCAAAGTCGGACACTTAACCAACTGAGCCACACTGGCGTCCCTAGTGTTTCATATTTTTGCAAACATTTATTGACTTGTAGAAAAAAATTCTCATTAACTTCTGTCCTTAAATTATTGGATAATAGAAAGTCATACTCCTTTCTTTTTAATTTGGGAACATGTCTCCTGCTTGCTGTCAATTATCAGTCATTTCTGGGCCCCTTTATTCTTACCATGTTTTCATTAAATTAATTTAATAACATCTGTGATGTGATCTCCTGTAAATAATGCATTCAACAACAATCATTAATCTATTTTTGTAAGCTTCCAATTTCTGGTAATACATATTTTCTTCCTCATGTTAATTTGCTCTGAACTCTAATTATTCTAGCAGTAAATAATTATCTGTCCATTGGTGCATTCTATTTATATCATAAACATAAACTGCACTTACAATGTATCAGGTAAAGTTCTAAGTATCTTATAATATTAACTCATTGGGTCCTCATCACAACCATAGGAGAAAAACATTATTATTATGAAGATACTGAAGCACAGAGAGATTAAATAACTCCCCCAAAGCCAGCCAGCTAATAAGTAACAGAATGAGGCTTCCAATCCAGGCTGCTGACTCCATTCATGAGCTAAATTGCACAAGGCTGCCTCTGAAAAAAATTTAGGTCAGGGAAGCTCTGGCCATCTCACTGGGGAAGTACAGTCCCAATAAATTTTTAAGTTTAATGTGCATAGGAAATATATTTCTGTTTTGATCAATTTTGTACTAATAATTCTAACAATGTGTAGAGTATAGGAGAGAGAAAATGGGGCAAAATGTTGATAATTGATAAATTCAAGGAAAGTGTATACAGAAGTCATTGTATTGTGCAACTTTTGAAAAATTTTAGTGGGAACCTGGGTGACTCAGTCGGTTAAGTGTTCAACTTCGGCTCAGGTCATGATCTCGCAGTTCATGCGTTCAAGCCCCACGTCGGGCTCTGTGCTGACAGCTCATAGCCTGGAACCTGCTTCAGATTCTGTGTCTTCCTCTCTCTCTGCCCCTCCCTTGCTCACATTCTGTCTTTCTCTCTCAAAAATAAAATAAACATTAAAAAACTTTTAATTTTATGGGCGCCTGGGTGGCTTAGTCGGTTAAGCGTCGACTTTCGCTTAGGTCATGATCTCGCGGTTCGTGGGTTCAAGCCCCGCATCGGGCTCTGTGCTGACTGCCAGCTCAGAGCCTGGAGCTTGTTTCAGTCTGTGACTCCCTCTCTCTCTGACCCTCCCCTGCTCAAGCTGTCTCTCTCTCTCTCCTAGAAATAAATAAAACATTAAAAAAAAAAAAACTTTTAATTTTAGAATTTTTTTTAAATAAGTTAAATAAAAATGAGTTTTAATTTTTTTACATACATATCATCTGGGTATTTTATTAATTTTTTAATTTACATTCAAGTTAGTATACAGTGCAACAATGATTTCAAGAATAGATTCCTTTTCCGTGTGAGGTATGGGTGCGAGTGCAAGTACGGAGTTCCTTACTTCTCCGCCATCTTGCCCCTCCCCAAGAATAGATTCTTTAATGCCCCTTACCCATTGAAGAGGTTTTTTTTTAATTTATTTACTTAATTTTTTAAAATATTTTTTAATGTTTATTTATTTTTGAGAGACAGACACAGAGTATGAGAGGGGGAGGGCAGAGAGAGAGGGAGACAGAATCCGAAGCAGGCTCCAGGCTCTGAGCTGTCAGCATAGAGCCTGATGCGGGGCTCGAACCCATGAACCCTGAGATCATGACCTGAGCCGAAGTCGGACACTTAACCAACTGAGCCACCCAGGTGCCCCCATTGAAGAGTTTTTAAATGTTAACATAATATGTTAAAAATTACATTTAAAACTATTAAGAAAAATTTTAGACCTAAAAAATATGCAAGGATGGATATAATTTTCCAAAATTCTTTTTTTTTTCCAAAACTATCTTGGTAGTGGTAATGGGTACAAAGTTTGAAGACAACAGTCTTAATCAGGAACATTTCAGAAAACTGCCATGTAACTCTCTTACTTTCACTCCATTCACCAGAACTCACTACATGGTCACTTACAGCCTCTGTCACTGGTGAGCTCCAGGAAATCAACCTCTAAGATGAAGATATGAATAGATGAGGTTTACTGGAAGCACTCTTGGCTCCAACCCTTGCTGAAGGAGGACTGGGCAGAGGGAAGGTAGGACCATGACACAGTTGCAACAAAAGCCTTAGTTGATCCCACAGGCAGCTCTGGAGCTGGGATGGCTGGGCAAGGTTGTCCAGAACTTTATACTTTCGCATCAGCCAGTCATTGGATATAGGCTGCCCCAGGGAAAGGGAAACGGGAAGGGGCAGACACCTGTGTAAGTAAGGCAGCTCTTCAACTGAAGCAATCCACAGAAGGGAAAACCCTGCTGCATCCCCATTTTATAGATAAGGAAGTTGAGGCACACGGAGATTAAATAGCTTGTCCCAGGTCACAGAGCTGGTAAGTGGTTGTGTTATTTCGCTATTGCCACATTAATGCTGCATAACATCCACAAAACCTCTACTAACAGGCTGAAAATAATTACTTACTTTTTTGCATGAGTCTATTCGAAAGCTAGGAGGGTCTGCTGATTTGGGCCAAGCAAGGCTCACCATGCATTTGTGGCCATGGGTCAGTGTACTCTGCCTGGCCTGCAAAGGCTTCAGCTAGGATGACTTGGGTCTCCTCCACATGGTCTCTTATCCTCCAGAAGGCTACCCTGAGCTAGCTTATTCTCGTGATGGTGAAAAGGGTCCGAGGGAGAAAGAAAGCGCACAAAGCCTTTTGAGGCCCGACACCGGAACTAGTACATCGTCACTTCTGCCACTCTATTGGCCAAAGCAAGTCACCAGGCCAAGCCCAGAGGGAGTGTGGCAGGGTGCTCTCAGATGACAGAGAGCCACAGAGGCATGAAAACCCAGGGACAATCCACAGTGATGGAGGCAGGATGCAAACTTCAGAGACCTCTCTTAACCATTATTTCACAGCCACCTCCCTAGCAAACCATTTATAGAATCTATTTCAAGTTCCAACACTGCGTGTGCCCAGCACATTGCTGGGCTCTATGGAGAGACAAGGTCCTACTTTCAAGGAACTCACAGCCTAGTAAAGGAGATGAGACACCACTGTGGAAGGTTTGGTGACAATGAAGGCAAGAGAAATGGTAGGAAGATGAAAGCAACAGGAATCAAAGGTAGGAAAGGGCACTGTGGACTGGAGAGGCGGGTAAGGTTGGGCAGGGGTTCATCTGGGTCTTGCACAATGTGCAGCATGGAATCAGGTGGTGAATAAGGAGGGTGGGATAACTCTGCTTCCTCTCTGCTCCCCTAGGTACCAAAGGAGGGGAAAGGAAAGGGATGGAATGGGGGACCCAGGAAGAAAGTTGATTTCTAAATCCTCTCTTCATTGTGTCCTCAGCCACTTAGGGTTTCCTTCCACCTCCCCCGGACACACATTCAGTGCCCAGCATTCCAAGGAAAATCCTATTTAATTCATATATGGGTTTACCTCCCC